AGATAGAAGAGTTTGTTGAATCTGACGTGACATGTTCGTACGAACCCTTTGTACGAACAAAAGTAAGAGAAATTTAGGATAAGAATACGAACATGTTCTTACATGAGGCCCATTGTGTGTTTTCATGGTCCAAACCGCAGAAACAACATTTTGCAGATTATTCTGTTTCATTTTGGCGTTCTCCATGGGGGTTGTTTGTGGATGGGTTCCGGGACGAGGGTCTGGTTTTGGAACCTCGGGCTCTCGCCTCTGCTTTCTGCAGATGATCTGGTTCTGTTGGCATCTTCAGCCCATGACTGTGTACGGGGGCAGTTCTCTGGGGTGATTCATGGTTCTCCTCTGGAAGCAGGTGGAATCTGGAGTGAGTGGAGTTCAAGTGTCTTCTTCACGAGCCTCTTCTTCGTTCTTGAGGCCGTTGCTTTGGTCGGCCGGGTTAAAGAAAGAGCTGAGGTGAAAGTAATCCTTTTAGTGGCTCGTCTTTATCCCAACCCTCACCTGTGGTCAGGAGGTTTGGATCGACCTGGAAAGAACAGGATTCTGGAAACAAGCGGACAAAATGATCTTGATTCAGAACTTGCAGGAGTGATTTTATGTATCCTCTCTGACCTGGGACCACCACGGGACCCCTCAGGTGGAGCTGGAGAATGTCGTCAGGTTTTTCTCTCCTGGACCTGTTGCCTCTGTGACCYGATGAGKGGAAAGTCTCTGTCGGTGTAAATCAGCCTGGACTGAGATGTTAAATAAACGCTTCTGTTGTTGTTTTCTTTCAGAAAACAAGCATCTGCTACCTTTCCTTTCCTGACTCCAACTCAGGTGAGTTTCCCACCATTTTCAGCTCTTATTTTACGCAGCAGAACAAACAGAACCAGCCTTGATTATTTGACCGTGACGTGTTCAGCTTTAGGGTGAGGTCAGACTCTGATTGGTTCTTTCTGTGCGAGGAGCGATAGCGTTTATTTTTAGCCTTCTGTTTTTAACGTGTGACCACTCAGCCTCCTTAAAGTCTCCGAAAATACTTTTGAAAGTACTTTATTCTTTTAAAAAATTACAAAAAAAACCATGGGGTTGGTTTAATCGTACACACGTGCCAACACTGCTGTGGGGTCAGGTGTGAGTCAGGAGTGTTAGTTTCCCTTCAGGTGTGTATTTTAGTTAACTGTGAGTCAGCAGGCGGGGAGGATGAGGAACTTGCTGCCATCAGTGTGAAGACAGGATTAGGACAAAAKGCTTTCAGCGCTTCTATATATATAAAATTTACTGTAGGCGAGCGTCAAAACCAGAGACCTTCAGCTGCGGAACTGCAGCTCTCTTTCTCCCGCGGCGTCGGCTGTAATTTAGTCTCACATCTCGACGGGAGCCGACGTCGCTCGCCTGAACTCCACTTTCACAGTTTAGGAATGAAAAGTGATGCTTGATTTGTTGGATTTACCTTTCAGCTCGAGGGTCTTAAACTGAAACCGTCACGTTTGGGGCTGAAGCTGTTCAGACCGAAACAAGAAGGCAAATAAAATGAAAATTAAAGAGTTAAACTAAGATAAATGACATGCATTAAACAACTGCTCTACATTTTTATTTTATTTCTATCATCTAAAGCTCATTAAACCCTTTCTCTTAGCTACTACCATTAGGGATGCACAATAACTTATTTTAAGAACCGATACCGATAACTTTCTCTTTCTAATGGCCGATAACCGATAATAACCGATAACGTGCCAGGAGATAAGACTAGTCAAAAATGGGTAAGATCATGACATAAACAAGACCCAAAAAAAGACACTAAATTATATTATTTGCAATAAACTCTTAGCAAGCAAACATTTCTTAAAGTATATCAAACAAAATTTCTCAAATGTCCATCTTTTTAAAAAAGGCACATTTATAAAAAGACCTTCAACACTGATCTGAGATTTAAACTATAGAGAAAACAGATAATGCACTGACACAAGTTAGATTCAAATTACATTTGTTTTTATTATTATTCATAAATGATTTAAAACATTTTTCTACCTGAAACAGTGCTGAGAGTGTGAATGCATTACGACAGCACCACAGGAAGACACACAAAGTTAGCAGCAGCTCGGCATGGCTAAGTGGCTAAGGAGATAAAAGCTTCGGTCTTTTAGCGAGGGTGAACGGTCGCTTGTCATCATTTCCATCATTAAATTGCTTGAGGTCTGCGTCCTCTCTGGCAATTTGTTTGGATTTGTCCAAAGCCTCAGCAATGATTTACATAAGTCCTGATGAATTCTTGAACACTAGCTTGTTGTTGTTAGCATTTTAGCAGAACAGACTCAGTGCTGCGTTCAGGAGGTAACAGACTTTACATGTTCTCAAATTGGGAGTAGTTGTTCCTAACTTTTTATGTTTATAATTATAAAGTTTGTGTGTAACATACAGGGTTAATTAGTAAAATAATATTAATAATTCTTAAAATAACTGATTGTTTTTCAGCAAGGAGTATTCTAATTATTTTTCTGACGCTACTTGAACGTTGCTCGGGTGGGAAGAGGCTTGACCAAAAAGGATAAAAATAAAGGCGCGCACTCACCGCCGCGCTGGCAAACACATACATATAATATTATCGGTTCTGTTTGTTATGATATCGGACCGATAAGTATGACGTCATAATTTCCTGATATCGGGCTGATAACTATCGTGCACCCCTAACTACCATGTGAATATTTAGCTCAGTAGTTATAAAATAGTTTGAGTTATAGTCCCTTTTAGTGATATTTAGTCATTAAATGTGAGAGTTTGCCACACTCAGACTGAAAAGCAGAGATACTGGTCAGACCCGGCGGCGTGACGTCAGACACTTCTGCCCCTCAGGAAGTGTGTGTTTGTGTGTTACGGAGCGGAAAACCTTGAAGTCTGCCCCAGTGAGGTTTGTGTTTACGTTCCAGCTGTCTTTACCTCCGTCTCCTCACTCTCACTCCGTCTGCCAGAGGACGTTCAGAGATCACAGCGAGGTTAAACACCAGTTCATGACTCATCCAGAATGTTTTTTTTTCTTTTTCCTCTTCCTGTTTGTTAAAAAAAGGCTGTTCAGTAATAAAACACGCTGACAGCTTTGTTTGTCGGCTCATTGAACCCGAGTCGTCTCTGTGATGTTTGCAGGTTGCCTCGGCGACACGCAGTTCTGCTTCCGCTTTCGTCAGGGCTCCAACAGAAAGTCGTCGCTGGGCTGTTTCCTGGAGACCACCGATCGCGACGCGCCGCCGTGTCTGAAGGTTTGGACGCGTGACAGTGGGCAGCGTTTAAAAATAAAAATAAAAAAACAGCTGCAGTAATGAAAACTGTACGTTTGTGTTGCAGCGGGAACAAGGCCATTACTACGGCTACGTGTACTTCAGACAGGTGCGAGACAAATCCCTGAAGAGAGGATACTTCCAGAAGGTCAGTTTTATCACCTTTATTTCACTCGTTTCTGTTGGTTTGAATGTTTTCTGGCTCAGCTTTACTGTTTTAAATGAAATCTATTAAAGTCTGCAGGGTAAGTTATTTTATCTGAACAGTTTGAATTAAAAACACAAGAACAGAATGTGTCTGGAAATAATTACAGAGTGGAAACTTCATAAAAACAGCTGATAAATGTGGAGAAAGTATTTAAGTAGTTTGGTATTTACTTTTTTTCCTCTTATATAACAGTTTGTGCGTTTGTATTTTTTTAGGTTTGYCAAGAAAAAAAAAGCCAAATTTCTCTCAATTTATTGTTTTATTTGTGGTTTTTATTTTGTCTTTCTGGGTTTTTAATTATTCCTTAGATGGATCAGGGTATTTTTTTCTTTTTTTTTATCATTGRCACTAAATATTTCATATTTGATGCTGAACGGGCACTTTTATTTCTTTAAAAACTAAATTCCTCCCTCGTTTTCTCTGTATTTTTGCTCCAGTCTCTGGTTCTGATCAGTAAGCTGCCCTACGTGACGTTTTTCCACTCGCTGCTGAAGATCATGGCTCCAGAATACTTTGAGAAACAGGAACCCTGCCTGGAAGCCGGTCAGTTGGGTCACATCATTCATAAAGTACATCTGTGTCGCTGCTGAGATGTTAAAAAATACGGATATAGTTGTGTCTAGATATTCAGAAAGTCCCAGGAAGACGAGGCTACGATCAAATCTTTGCTTCAGTTTGAGTCTTTTTGCCGCTCAAAATGATGAAATTGAAGATAAAACAATAGCTGAGCACAGCTGGGAGCTTCTCGTCTGTAATATATATAATAAAAAACTTCCCAACGTCGACGTTTGACTGATACATTGTGTGTTAATGAATAAAAACACTGATCTGTGTTTATCTGACAGCTTGTAACGACATGGACCGCTGGCCCACGCCTCATCCTGGTCGAATCCTCACTCTGCCCATAATGGGTGTCGTCATCAAGGTACTCAGTAAAACTATACTTACTATAGTACTATCTGTGTACTGCCGTCAGAACTGTAAACTAACAGAAATTAGGTCAGTGTTTTGTTTTTGTTTATGTTTTTATTGTTCCGCAGGTTCGGATCCCGACCAGCTACGACAAACCAGGAACCTCCCAGCTGGTCCAGTCTGCTCAGGTGCATCAACAGCAGGAGGATTTATTGTTATATTTAGTGTATTCATTTAYTTATATCTAAAGAATAAGGTTGTGTTTCTGCTTTTCAGAGCGACAGTTCAGTGTCCATCGTTCTCCCAACCATCCATGAAGTCGACCTTTTCAGGTGAGACTTGAAGCTTTTTGTTTTTTTGTCTCCATCTGCTGTTCAGTTCTGGTACTGCTGCAGGTTCTTATGAGTCCAGACCTGCAAAACGTAGAAGATAGAAGTGAAATAAGACTGACCTGCCTTAAAACAAACTTTAAACAAGCCAAAAAAAAGCTCTCATTCCTGCTTAAATACAAGCTTAGTGCTGAATGAAGAAGGTGGACCACAGCTAAAACCTAAACATAGCATCAACCTATCTAAAAGTGTTAAAAGGATGATGAGAAGCTAAAAGTAACAAAGTGATAGATAAAGGCTAGAAGCAGCAAAAGCTTAGCTAAAACTGTCAAAAAGCTAGTTAGAAGYTAAAAGTTTCCAAAAGCTATTAAGAAGCTAAAGTTTTCAAAAGACTAATTAGAAGTTAAAGGTTGGAAAAAGCTAATTAGAAGCTAAAGTTTTCAAAAGGCTAGTTAGAAGCTAAATGTTGCAAAAAGCTAGTTAGAAGCTAAAGGTTTCAAACAGCTAGTTAGAAGCTAAAGGTTTCAAACAGCTAGTTAGAAACTAAAGGTTTCAAACAGCTAGTTAGAAGCTAAATGTTGCAAAAAAGCTAGTTAGAAGCTAAAGGTTTCAAACAGCTAGTTAGAAGCTAAAGGTTTCAAACAGCTAGTTAGAAGCTAAAGGTTGCAAAAATCTAGTTAGAAGCTAAAGGTTGCAAAAATCTAGTTAGAAGCTAAATGTTGCTAAAAGCTAGTAAGAAGCTCAAGTTTTCAAAAGGCTAGTTAGAATATAAAGGTTGGAAAAAGCTAATTAGAAGCTAAAGGTTTCAAAAGGCTAGTTAAAAGCTAAAGGTTTCAAAAGGCTAGTTAGAAGCTAAAGGTTTCCAAAAGCTAGTGGGAAGCTAAAGTTTTCAAAAGGCTAGTTAGAAGCTAAAGGTTTCAAAAATCTAGTTAGAAGCTAAATGTTGCAAAAAGCTAGCAAGAAGCTAAAGGTTTCAAACAGCTGTCACATGCAACATGTACAACTTTAATGTGTAACACATGTACAATATCTGTGTGTGTGTGCACCTCTGTTTTTCTAGGGAGAAAATATTTATTATAAAGTTTTTAAAAGAATAAAAATGACAAAAAAAAAAAACAAGTCGCAGCAGCCGTCTCCTGAATGAGCAGAAAGTTTTGACAGTTCAAATAGCACCAAGTCTGAAGAAGTCATTAGATTGCAAAATATAAAAAAACAGGAAAACAGTGTGCTGACTCAGCGTTTACACAACAATTGCTTTTATCAACATGCGTATAAAAGTCTTCCACGTTTGGACAAATCTATGAAATTCCCTCCGTCCAGGTGTTTCTACCCGGTCTTCTTCCACATCCAGATGCTCTGGGAGCTGGTGTTGTTGGGGGAGGCGCTTGTCGTCATGGCGCCGTCGCCCGCAGAGTCGTCTGAAACCGTGCTGGCGTTGGTCAGGTGATTCCGAACAACCCGTGAAGCAGGTGTTTTAAGTTTCCTGTTTTTGTTTATTTTATTCAAGGTCAAAGTTAATTTCCTGTCCTGTCTTCTTGCAGCTGCATCTCTCCGCTGCGGTACTGCAGCGACTTCAGGCCGTACTTCACCATCCACGACAGCGAGTTTAAGGAGTACACAACCAGAACGCAGGCTCCGTGAGGAAAACACCTCTTTACATTCATGGTTTCTGTCTGGACTCTGCATCTACACCCTGTCTGTTGTCTGTAACCTGCAGGCCGTCGGTCGTTCTGGGAGTGACCAATCCCTTCTTCGCTAAAACCCTGCAGCACTGGCCGCACATCATCCGCATCGGAGACATGAAGCAAGCAGGTAAACGACTTGGTCCGCCCAGGTTCAGTTTTATCAACACTCAAAAGGAAAAAAAATTGAATAGGTCCTCTGGACGGGTTCTTCTTTAATGAAACGTTTCGTCTCTCTTCCAAGAGACTTCTTCAGTCTGAGAGTTTCAGGCAAAATTCAGGCCTGAATTTTGCCTGAAACTCTCAGACTGAAGAAGTCTCTTGGAGGAGAGACGAAACGTTTCATTAAAGAAGAACCCGTCCAGAGGACCTATTCAATTTTTTTTCCTTTTGATTTTTTACCTGGATTACTGAGATGCATCAGGACATTTTATCAACACTGTTTATGAYGGAGCTTTGTTTCTGCCACCATGTCAGTTTATAAAGCAAATTTGACAGAAAACTGACATGGAAACCTCATACAAATTACTTAAGAACAAAAATGGCAAAATATATTGCAGTGTTGTATAAAGTCAAGGAGTTATTTAATGATAAAGCACTATTTATACTATGTAATGCAATAATTGTTTCACATTGGATTTATTGTATAGAAGTCTGGGGAAATGCATGTAAAACAATTACTAATCCTATTTTTATTTTACAAAAAAAGAGCCATAGGAATTATCACAAGGAAGCATTATTATCACTATTTGCTTCCCTCAGGAGAGATGACCAAGCAGACGAAAGTCAAGAAACTGAAAAACCTGAAAACTCTGGACTCTAAACCCGGTAAATACTTACTTGGTGTTTATTTATCTGTATGGTTTTTGTACGCAACATGTTTACGTGTTTATTACAGGTGTGTACACTGCTTATAAGCCATATCTTAACAAAGATGAAGAAATCATCAAGCAGCTCCAGAAGGTACCTGTGCAGACTCAGGCTTTGATTTAACCGTTCCCTTGGATTTATTTATTTATTTATTTTTATTCACGGCTCCTTGTGTTTCATGCTTTTTATTTTCAGGGGGTTCAGCAGAAGAGACCCTCAGCGGCCCAGAATGCAATTCTTCGACGTTACTTCTTAGAGCTGACTCAGAGCTTCATCATTCCTCTGGTAACACCTCCTTGTTCCCATCGAGTAAAACTTAAACTGGTTTTCTTTCAGCCACAGAAATAAAAGGAGTTGTTTTCGCGTTCTGTGCAGGAGCGATACGTTGCCAGTCTCATGCCGCTGCAGAAGTCCATCAGCCCCTGGAAGAGTCCTCCTCAGATCCGAGCCTTCAACCAGCAGGACTTCATGAAGACGTTGGAGAAGGCGGGGCCTCAGCTCACGTCCAGACTGAAAGGAGACTGGATCGGACTCTACAGGTCCCACAAGCGTCTGTGTTTTTAAGCTCAAAGGGACGAAATGTTAAAAAATAAAATAAACAAAATGGAACGATGCTTTTCCTGTTCGGGTTTCAGGCACTTTCTGAAGTCTCCCAACTTCGACGGCTGGTTCCGCAGCAGGAGAAGAGAGATGACTCAGAAACTGGAGGCTCTGCACCTGGAGGCTCTGTGTGAGGAGGTGAGGAGRAGGAGGATCAGACACACCTTTTTAATTAAACTTCCACTTGGAAATAAAATAAGAAACTTTAACAAGCATTTTCGTTATTTTATTTTATTTACTCCTAAACTCAACACATTATTGTGTCGATACGTAACAAACGGCTCGGCAGGAAAACTATTTTAGTTATTTAAGCTCTTTGTTTCCAGCAGCTCGTCACAAAGATGCTGTTTTGTTTCAAATTCTTTACTTAAATCAATAAAAAAACACTAAAGATAACACAGTTGGACAGATAATAGTATTTTAGCTTCAATAAGGAGGTTCTCAAAATGTATCAAACAACAAGATTCAAACATGAGTTTACTTAAAATGTCCAAACAAAACAATATAAAGTTATTTTAAGGTTAAATGATTATATTATTGCTCTACAGAAGCTAATGGAAACGTATTTACGTGTTCCTCTTCAAAAACTACCAATAAATATATTTTCCAGTATTTTTTCTAATTGTTTAGAGTGGTTTACTTCAAGTGTAGCCTACAGTCCAAAAGATAAATACATTAACAAAAAAGTTAATTTTGTGGACTGAGAGATGAAAAATTATATATGGTTGATGCCTTTTTATTACATTTGTGTTTATTGTGGAATTGGTCCGTCCGTTTTCTTCCTCTTCTTTGSGGTCAGGTCTCGGGGGCAGCAGCCTAAGCAGAGAGACCCAGACTTCCCTCTCTCCAACCACTTGGGCCAGCTCAGCCAGGGGAATCCCAAGGCGTTCCCAGGCCACCTGAGAAACATAGTCCCTCCAGCATGTCCTGGGTCTTCCCCTGGGTCTCCTCCCAGTGGGACGTGTCCAGAACACCTCACCAGGGAGGAGTCCAGGAGGCATCCTAACCAGATGCCCGAGCCACCTCAACTGGCTCCTCTGGACGTGGAGGAGCAGCGGCTCTACTCTGAGTCCCTCCCGGATGACTGAGCTTCTCACCCTAAGGGAGAGCCCAGACACCCTGTGAAGGAAACTCATTTCAGCCGCTTGTATCTGCGATCTCGTTCTTTCAGTCACTACCTAAAGCTTGTGACCATAGATGAGGGTAGGAACATAGACCGACCGGTAAACTGAGAGCTTTGCCTTCTGGCTCTGCTCCCGCTTCACCACGACAGACCGGTACAACACCCGCATCACTGCAGACGCGGCACCAATCCGCCTGTTGATCTCCCGCTCCATTCTTCCCTCATTCCTGAACAAGACCCCGATATACTTAAACTCCTCCACTTGAGGCAGGACCTCTTTCCTAACCCGGAGAAGGCACGCTACCGGTTTCCGGCTCAAGACCATGGTCTCAGATTTGGAGGCACTGATCCTCACCCCGGCTGCTTCACACTCGGCTGTGAACCGCTCCAGTGAGAGCTGGAGATCAGGATCTGATGAAGCCAATAGGACCACATCATCCACAAAAATCAGAGATGTGATCCTAAGGTCACCAAAACATCCCCTCAACACCTCGGCTGCGCCTTGAAATTCTGTCCATAAAAGTTATGATCAGAATCGGTGACAAAGGTCAACCTTGGTGGAGTCCAACCCTCAATGGAAATGAGTCTGACTTACTACCGGCAATGTGGACCAAGCTCTGGCATCAGTTGTACAGGGATCTAACAGCCCGTGTCAAYGGGCCTGGTACCCCATACTCCTGGAGTACCCACCACAGGAGTCCCCACGGGACACAATCGAAGTCCACAAAACAAATGTAGACTGGTTGGTTGAACTCCCATGCACCCTCCAGAACCCTTCTGAGGGTGTAGAGCTGGTCCACTGCACCACAACCAGGACCAAAACCACACTGCTCCTCCTAAATCCGAGATTTGACTATCCTCTGTCTCGGAATTGGTCTTAAATATAAGTTTAAGTGGAATTAAAAAGTCTTAAATTAAACTTRTTTTAAGCTGTAGGAACTCTGTAATAATGTCAGTGTTTGTGTTTTATTATTTATTATTATAAGTACATTTACTTTGTTACAGTACTTAAGCTTCTGTTAAGGTAGCTTTTCTTTTACTAAGTTATTTTTTGAAGTACTTTATAGACATCTGTTAATAAGCCAGTAAATCTGGTAAAGCTCAGATTTCCCAGCTTTTCGCTGGCCTTGAATGCAGCGTCACACATGTTGATCCGAGTTTTTGAAGTGAAATCAGAAAACTGTGAAAGTGACGCCTCGTTTGATGTGTGCAGGATCTTCAGCAGAGGATCCAGAAGCACACGGAGGTGGAGGCTGTGGATCTGGTCCTGAAGCTGAAAGACAAACTGGTGGGGACACACTCTCCTGTGTTGTGTTGTTGTTGTTACCGTGTTGTGTTGTTATTGTGTTGTGTTGTTACTGTGTATTGTTAATATTTTGTGTTGTGTTGTTATTATGTATTATTATTTTGTGTTGTTATTGTGTTGTGTTATTGTATTGTGTTGTTGTTGTATTGTTATTATATTGTGTTGTTATTGTATTGTTTTGTTGATGTGTTTGTGTTGTGTTGCATAGATAACACAAACGTTCCCTCCTGTCACTGCAGACTCAGGCAGAGAGGGAGCAGCTCCCGGTCCGTCCAGGCACCCTGACCAAACTGAGAGCCCACATCGAGGCCGTCATCCTGGCCTTACCGGAGGACCTGCAGGGAATCCTCCATAAGCCCCCCACGCCGTGACCTTTAACCCCCCCCCAGCCACACACACACAAACACACACCCACTACGCCAACCTGAGGCAGTCCTCCTTCTGGTTGCTGGAGGAACTGCGTCAGTTTGAGGTTTTTACTGYAGCGGCAGGGTCTGATCGAACCCCGACGTCTCCGTGGTCCTGAAGCGACAMAGCTGCGATGGGCCGGACCGGACCTGTCAGCCCACCTCTTTAAAACAAAACAAAAAGGAGCGCCGGGTGTGTTTAACACATCATGCTGTAACGACACTCAGAGCCCGTCAGACGCTGGAGGTGACCTGTGAGCAAAAAAACAAAACTAGAAACTGACCCCCGGTGACCTTTGACCCTCAACGATTTTTACTTTTTAACACCTTTAGATTCTTATTTAAACCGGCTGCTGCTCTCTGACGCAGAGTTTTCATTCGTTTTAAGGACAGGTTTTTTAAAATAAGTGCACTTCATTGTTCCCAGGACCAGTGTGCCCAACACACACACACACACACACACACACACACACACACACACACACACACACACAGTTTATGCAAACAAACTGACCGGAGCAGAACCAAGCAGTGCATTATAGTCACATTTATAAACATTAACCACCAGCAGCTCAGTAATAAGTGATAAAACTCTTGTTTCTGTGAATGTTGGCTGAGGAACAATTCTGCTTTGTCCTGAAAGTTTAATCAAGTTCAATTTTTTTTAATCTAAAGGATGAATTTAAGCATAAAGTGTTTAAACAGCTCTTCTGATGGTTCAGAGGTGAAACTCGAGGCCCGTTTTTATCATTTTTAAGAGATTTTAAAGCAAAACAGGAAAGTGGAGATCCTGGTTTATGAAATTATTTAGGAAGCAATAAGATAAAATTAAAAAATTCTGGATATATAATCAGTTATTAATTCATCATGTGTTACACTTGGATTTTTTTAAGAATTCAGTTTTTTATTTCACTGAATTCTGAAATATTTTATTTTTGTAAAGTTATTTTTGCAACAGTTATTTCCTCCTGTCTGAAACATTTTGACTGAAAAACAAACAAAAAATGAAATGTAAAATTAATTTAACTCATTTTAGGGGGAAAACCGTTTGTGCTTTGACTATAAACTGAAACAAGATTTATAAAGGGTAAAAACACTAGCTGCTCTGCTCATGTTTATTTTCTGGTTTATGAGTTTCACATGTTGAATTATGTAGAACTGACCTTGTGGACATTGCAGGTGACGTAAATAATGAAGCGTTTTCTGTAATGAGAGTAAAAACAGACGAACCTCAGGTGAAAACATGAAGAAGTGACTTTGTTACGATGTCAGTTTTCATCAAAGAGGACCCACCTGGATCTGTTCCTTCCTTCGGCTCAATCGTGACTCCAGCTTCTACGTCGTTTTCAGCAAATTCAGCCTTTGTTTACGTTGATTACAGACCCGCATTTCAGAATTTTAAATGGGAAAGTGAACAAATACAAAAACACTCTTAAACTTCGTCTGTTATAGTTCAGGACAGTGGTGGGCAGCGCTAATCCAAAAATTAGCTCCGCAATTTCTAAAGCACTTATGTAAATATTTAGGTCCGCAACCTCAAAACCACTTATGCCATAGAAAAACTAGCGGAAGCTAATTTTAAAGCACAAGTTCAATTTGACACTTACTAGCTGGCAACAATTCATATACAATATATACACAATACTGCCAACTAGCAGTGTATCTTTTAAAGCTTATTCCTACAACCGCTGATTGCTGAGGATGTGAGTTCCTGAAACAGACCTTTAGCTCCTGGTGTAAAAATTAAAAAGTTGTTGAGGATTGCTAGTTTGTCTTTTTCTTTTGTTTGTTGTAGATTTTTCATTAAAGAAGCATCTAAGTAATTTTAAAACTGTTCATTGGAAAACTGAAGCGATGCATTCTGGGAACATGATAGATTTGATTTGTGACGGGAAAGGAACGCACAGAGTACAGGAAACCATCTTCCCTTCAAAATAAAAGCTTGGATTTTAAAGTTTTCTATGTAGTTGYTCCAGTTGACCACTAGATTTCAGTCTTCATCAGCATAACATCTTTAAATCATTTCTGAGTCTCTAACCCCGTTGCTTCGACCAATTACGTCAAGTATTGAGCTCCAGCGTTTAAACTTTTTTTTTTTTTTTAAAAAGGAGCTTCAATTGTGAAGTAAAATAAATCAATACATGCAAAATTTTAGTATGGATTACAAACGTTAACTGTTTTTGCTATTGCCTTCCTGCTACGTAAGCAGACACACAGCATTGTGGGAAATGAGAACCCTGACTGAAAGTAACAGTCAGCAGGATGTATACCTTCACAATAAGTGTGTTTATCTGGGAGGGGTGCTGTTGGACAGATCACATGTGTTGCGATTCGTTGAAAGCCATACCTTCTGCTGTTCAAGATAATGATGACTGGTAGATAATTAGTTATTAGCGGTACTGCATTTTGATTTTAGAAAGCAAAATTTAAATACGCTTATGAATTATAWAAAATTAGTAAGACGGACCACTACAGCGCAAATGAAATATTTAGGTCTGCAATTAGCGGATTTGCGCTTTAGTGGGCTGGTGCCCACCACTGGTTCAGGATAAATATATTTCATGTTTTATTTCAGCTGAACATCAGTAGAAAATGTTTATCAGACGTAGCATTCAAAAAGAAAAACTAAAATAAAGGAAATTTCAAAACTACAGATCTGTTTTTCAAATTAAAATAGCGTTGATGAATTTATTTATTTCTGTTTGGATAATTTGAGTTAATTTGTTTGTATCTGGTGAAACATCAGGCTGCTCCCAGTAGAAGCTGATTTAGTTTTTCTGCTGTATATAAGTAATAAAGCGACTCCTTCGAAGCTACTTCAGACTCAAACAGAAGGTTCTGGCTCCTGCGTCGAACGAGCACGYGTCCAAAACGACACAAAAATAAAACCTCTGAAAAGGGGGCGCAGCGGCACGTTTCAGCACAAGGTTTTTATGTGGTAAAATGTAGATTTATTTTTCTTCAGTTGAGCTGAAAACTAAAATCCTCTGAAACAGTCATAGGAATCCTGCAGAGCAATAAAACTTATCTGCACATGTTCTTTTTTTAAGTTCAATTAACGTTTTAATGTATGTTTTATCAGATTTATGCATAAAAACAAAAACCGTTCAAATGACATCTGGAAGTTTTTATATTTGTAAGAGTTTTTATTCTGAGCTGTTCCTCATTCAGAGTTTTTGTACAGAAATACGTTGAATGAAAAGCCCACAAACTGTATGAGAATGTACCATATTTTGTTATTGAAACATGTCTGACTAAACAGAATTAACAAGAAGTGACTCCWGCTGTTGGTTTATTGAGCACAGACACGGAAATAATTTGATTAATTTTATTAAAAAGAACATGGAAGAAGTGAGTAGATTACATAATAAAAGTCTGTTTATCTTCATAAAAATGATGTTTAGATAAACTGGGATGGATTTCAAAATGTTAGTGAGGCTGAAGTTTCTGTGAAGCAGAAAACTCAAAAATAAACAGAACAGCTCCTTTAATCTGTTTTAATCTTAGTAAGATGTAAAGTTTGACAGATTGTCATTGTTTGAATATCTCCACAGATTATATTTTTTTATAATCTCTTCTCAGAACCATCTCTTGTGTTTCTTGCTSCTCTYCATGTTAAAAACCTTGTTGGGATGATTCTTCTCCCACTTCAGGGGAGGTTTTCGCTCCCCTCTAAGGTCCGGCAGGTTCACCAGCTGATCGTAGCTGTCCTCCATCAGGGTCTTCCCTGTGACAGAGTACGTGATGTCGGACCAGCTCAGCACCGAGCCTCGGTACGGTCTGAGAACACAAACACATGCTTTTAAATTCAATAATATTACTTTAAATGACAAAAAAGTACACGAGGTGAGAAAAAATTTTGCTTAAGATGTGAGTGAAAGAGGTATGATTCTCATCGACTAAACACACACATACTTGTTTTTGCATTAAACTAAGGACTTTGTATTGACTTCCATTCATATATGTAACTGCATTTATTCTTAACCCAAACATTTTCCATAACTAACAACATACCTCTAAATCTAACTAGTAGAGCAGCAAAAAAGTGAGAATCAGGAAAATGTCCTCAGTTCCCAAAAATGTCCTCATTTTAATAGGTTAGACATGTACGCTCACCGGCCACTGTATTAGGTACACTTGTCCAACTGTGGAATCAGCCAATCACATGGCAGCAACTCAATGAATTTAGGCATGTAGACATGTTCAAGATGATCTGCTGCACTTCAAACTGAGCATCAGAAAGAGGAAGAAATGTGATTTAAGGAACTTTGAACATGGCATGGTTGTTGGTGGCAGACAGGCTGGTCGGAGTATTTCACAAACTGCTGATCTACTGGGATTTTCACSCACAACCATCTCTAGGGTTTACTGAGAATGGTCCGAAAAAGAGAAAATATTCAGTGAGCAGAAGTTCTGTGAGTGTAAGTGTCTTGTTGATGCCAGAGGTCAGAGGATAATGGCCAGACTGGTTTGAGCTGATAGAACAGCAACTCAAATAACCACTCTTTACAACAGAGGTCTGCAGAAGAGCATCTCTGAACACACAACACATCAAACCATGAGGCGGATGGGCTACAGCAGTAGAAGACCACCAGGTACCACTCCTGCCAGCTAAGAACAGGAAACTGAGGCTACAATTCACACAGACTCACCAAAACTGGACAATAAAAGATTGAAAAACATTGCCTGGTCTGATGAGTCTCGATTTCTGCTGCGACATTCGGATGGTAGGGTCAGAATTTGGCATCAACAACATGAAAGCTTGGATCCATCCTGTCTTGTATCAACGGTTCAGACTGGTGGTGGTGGTGCAATGGTGTGAGGGATATTTTCCTGGCACACTTTGGGCCCATTAGTACCAATTGAGCATCGTGTCAACACCACAGCCTACCTGAGTATTGTTGCTGACCATGTCCATCCCTTTATGACCACAGTGTACCCATCTTCTGACCATGTCCATTCCTTTATGACCACAGTGTACCATCTTCGGACCATGTCCATTCCTTTATGACCACAGTGTACCATCTTCGGACCATGTCCATTCCTTTATGACCACAGTGTACCATCTTCGGACCATGCCCATCCCCTTATGACCACAGTGTACCATCTTCCAACAGGATAATGCTCCATGTCATAAAGAGTGAATGAATCATCTCAGACTGGTTTCTTGAAGACAATAATGAGTTCACTGTACTGGAATGGCTCCACAGTCACCAGATCTCAGTCCAATAGATCACCTTTGGGATGTGGTGGAACATAAGATTCACATCATGTGCAGCCGACAAATCTGCAGCAACTGTGTGATGCTATCATGTTAATATGGACCAGACTCTCTGGGGAATGTTTCAATTCAATTCAAAAATACTTTATTGATCCCAGAGGGAAATTTGGTAAAAGTTCCAGTATCTTGTTGAATCTATGCCACTAAGGATTAAGGCAGTTCTGAAGGCAAAAGAGGGTCCAACCCAGTAATAGCAAGGTGAACCTGGCCGGTGAGTGCATGTCCTCCCTCTGTTGAAGGAAATTAAATGATTAACTAAATGTTAGATGCAGTATTGTTTTTATACTTTCTGATCATTGCAGCCATAAGGTTTAAAACAAAGAGCTGGTGTGTGTTATCGATGTGTTCTGTCTGTAACAACAAAAGTTGGTTACATTCTACATCTGACGTAAAAGGTACCACCTCCAAGGTGGAACCAGGAAGAGAAATACATTATAAGGTCAATTAATTATTATGGAGGGGACAAAGAAGTGTTTTTGGAAGTTTAGTTTTGCAGTCTGTTAGATCAGCTTGGGACAGCTGGGCTGCTGAGAGAGATTGTAGTGTTTTCCTTGATACGAGCTCAAGGCCTTCCGCTGAGGCCTGACTACTGTGAAACTGACTGGAGTCAGAAACGAGAAGAGTCCAAGTGGGTCCTGCTACATTATTCAGAAATGCCATTTTTGAACGACACTTTTCTACATTGCAACAAAAGCAAACACACACACACACACTTTTGTATTTGCATCAAACTGAGGACATTGTTTCGACTTCTGTTCATTTTTTAACTACATTTATGTCTAACCCAGACATAGTCTGTCTATTCCTAACTCTAACATGAACCAGAACTAAATTCACATCATACCTCTAAACCTAACTAGTAAAGTGCAGTAAACCTGCAAAAAAAGTGAGAACCGAGAAAATGTCATCCCTTTGTAGGTTAAAATCATATGTCCTCACTCTGTAACAAAAACAAGTACACACACACACACAAACAGTCTTACCCGTAGACACCAGAAGTCAGGAAGTAAAAGACTTCCCTGAAGCAGAGAGGATAATCCCACACCTGGACGTCTGTCACCTGGCCTTCAAATTGTGTGAAATCAACTGTGGGCTCACCTGACCACGAATACTGAACACACACACACACACACACACACACACACACACACACACACACACACGTTAGATTTAAAGGCATCACTTCTCCTGAAAACATCAAGATGAAGCAGATTCATTTTTAACAAGTACAACACACTTTTCTCTGAAAATAGAGCTGAGGAGGCTGAAGCTGAGCTCTAAGTAAGCTACATTCTAACCAAAAGGATGCAAGATACTAGCTAAAAGCTAAAAGAGCAAAAGGCTAGCTGATGGCTCAAATAGCAAAAGTTCCTTTCAACTTCCAGCTAGCCTTTAGCTACTTTTAGTTACATTTTTTTTACATCTTTTAGATATCTTTTTGCCACTTTTARCTAGTTTCGTGCATCCTTTGGATAGCTTATTTTAACAGCTCAGCTCCGGCCCTTCAGCTGCATTTTTAACTGTACATAGTTAAATATCTGTGTTATAAAAGTCCACGGTTCTTCTCACCCTGTAAGGGATCAGTTTCCTGGTGCTCATCATGGAGTCACTGAACACCTGGGTCACAGCCTTCCTGCTGTCCACAGTGACGCAGACGCTGGTCCAGATCTTCTTTTTATTGTTAGACCAGAAGATGCGGGTCGGCATGTACAGGCTGCTGTATCTGTTGAAGGACAGCATATATGTGCCGAGTCCATCGGTACTCAGACTCATGGGGGTGCTGTACGGACTGAGGGTGAAGATGGAGRCACTCTGTGAGTCAGTGACGTACCGTAAACACACGGTCACACCTGCAGGGAGGGAAAAGATGATCGATCGTTTTATTTTTTTTCCTAAACCGTTAGCCCTCCTGCTGCCCATGGGTCAAAGTGGGCCGTTTTGACCCAATGGCAGCAGGAGGGTTAGAGTAACTGACGTATAAACAAAGACTTCCTGTTCCAATAAAACAAACCAAAGAGACTCGATTCAATCATGATTTGTGAAGGTTCTTACCTCTGGTGGGAGAAGCTGTGGTCCATGGATAGGTGGTGAATGGGGTGGTGGTGGTGTGTCTGGTGGTGGTGTGTCTGGTGGTGGTGTGTGGGGTGGTGGTGGTGTATTTGGTGGTGTTGAAATCTGAGGTTGACCTTGTTGGGTCTTCAGTGGTTGATCTTGTTGGGTCTTCAGAGGTTGAGGTTGACCTTGTTGGGTCTTCAGTGGTTGACCTTGTTGGGTCTTCAGTGGTTGACCTTGTTGGGTCTTCAGTGGTTGATCTTGTTGGGTCTTCAGTGGTAGATCTTGTTGGGTCTTCAGTGGTTGATCTTGTTGGGTCTTCAGTGGTTGATCTTGTTGGGTCTTCAGTGGTTGACCTTGTTTGAGTTTTTGATTGTGCTGTACTCATCCCTGGAGGGGGCTGATGGGGGGAGTAGAGAACCAATCCTCCTTCATAGCGAGTCAAAGTGAACATTTTCCCTTTTAAATTTTGTCCACCTGAGGCCCAAAACAAAAAACTGTCATAATGACATAAAGACATATTTATACATAATCGTTGGACAACAAAGATCCAGTCCACCTGGACAGGTCTTAATGTTGGATCGTCATTTAGTTCGTCTGATAAAAGTTTGTTGGCAAGTTTCTAATCTTGTCATTTTTGTAAAAGCTGAAATATTTTATTTATTTCCCATTTAGTTTTYTCTTTCTGCTTTTTAGGTTCGAATGACTTCAGCACACATTCAGTTATTTCAGCCATTCAAGCGTCTATAAGTTTGGCTCATTCACAAAATTTCAGCTGTGTCTTTTAGTTTTTCTTAATTTCATTTTTTTAAATGCTTGAAAATAACTATCTTCAACATAATAGCTTCATTATCAGCTTTAAGCTAATGTTTTGCTAATTTGAGTTTTAATCATTGTTTTGATTATTTCAGCTTTAATGTACACTGCTCAAAAAAAATAAAAGGGAACACTACTGCTCAAAAAAATAAAGGGAACACTACTGCTCAAAAAAACAAAAAGGGAACACTACTGCTCAAAAAAACATAAAAGGGAACATGTCTTGATGCATCTCAGTAATCCAGGTAAAAAAATCAAAGGAAAAAAAATTGTATAGGTCCTCTGGAAGAACCCGTCCAGAGGACCTATACAATTTTTTTTCCTTTGATAAAAGGGAACACTTAAAACAACGCACGCGAACTCCTGATCTTAATCAATGAAATATTCGCATTGAGTACTTTGTTCTGTACAGAGTTGAATGTGCTTCACAAAAGTTTGATCTACTTGGACTTAGCGTGCRTTGTTTAAGTGTTCCTTTAATWTTTTGAGCAGTGTATTATTTTGATCATTTGATCTTTTAACCATTATCTTGCACATTTTAGCTTTTGGCTACTGTTCTGATCATTTCAGCTTTAAGCTACTGTTTTGCTAATTTGAGCTTTTAACCATTGTTCTGCACACTTTAGCTTTTAGTGGCTGTGATTGAAAAACAACTTCAGAATGCTAAAAGTAGCATCCATGTTTAGCTAACTGTATAAACAAACAGTGAACTCAATGTGACGTCACGTCTTTTTCTGTGCATGTGGGTAATGTTAAAGGTCTAATTTGAAATATGTGAACATTCACATTAATAATTCGGGTTTTTAAATTATTATCTTAACTCAAAGCTGAGTAAGAAGATTTTAGCTGGTTTTGGACATGAAGCTTTCTGGGAGCAAGAACTTTTACTTTAAACTTGACCTTGAAGATATCTTTTAAATTCTCACCTGGTGTATAAGTTGTAGCTGGCCAATCAGCTGATCTGCAGGTCACGATGACCTTTATTGTGAAGATGAAGAGGAGCAGATTCATCATCGCCCTGATCAGGATCTCAGCAGAAGTTCTTCAGGGTGTCCTCTCTGCCTGCTTTGTTTTTCTGCTCCGTTTGTTCAGATGTCAGCAGCTCTTCTGACTTTCATTTCTCTGAGTTTCAGACTCTCCTGTTGGACTTCCTCTTCTCTGCAGACAGGGGGAAAAAAAATCTGCAAACCCATCAAAATAAAATTYAAACAAACCCCCCACAGTGGAACAAAGTAAAACAGACATTTTTAAGTTTTTTTTTTTACACAACACTTTAGTTATGTCTAGTTTTTCTATTATACCATGAAATTTCACTGCAGGTTTGTTCTCTGCACAGATTGTGGCTCAGGAAAATCACAACACGATGACTCATTTCTCCACATCAAACTGGCTCAGCTGGATTCCTCCACATATTCAGACCCAACAACAACAGAGCTCCGAATAAACTGGACTCATAAATCCATGAGAGCTGTAAACATGTTAAAACATTGTTTTAATTTGTCTGAACAACTAAAGTTTGCTCCTGTCCAGTTTTGAACTTTGTCCCTTTTAGTAACATCCCCTTTGACTCGAACACAAATCAGTGTCACTTCTGCTCAGATTAGTTTCAACATTTCAACAGCACAAATGATTAACGACCACAGGGGAGGCCTTTCTTTTGTTCCTGCTGCCAGACTTTACTCTGAGCTGGTTTTATTAACATGTCAGTTTTATTACACAACTTCAAAATGGCTTCTTGTTAGATCCTGTTCTCAAGCTGCATTTCCTCTCATCCTTAACATTATTATTATTGTTTGTATGTAAGAACTGAACATCGTCAGTTTGTGCTGTTGGTGTATTTAATAAATGCTCCTTCTTACAAGAATAAAAGCACTTATTCAAACTGTCAGAACCTTTATTAGTAAATAAATAAATCAACGGTGCCATCAGCTGTGTCACGGCTCAGGTGAGGGTTTCTGTAATCCTTGGAGGATAAGGATTTTCTGACATCAAGACCAAAAAATCCTGACATGCAGAATTTAATCAAGATTATTTCAAACTGATTTGTCTTCTTTAGTCTTCTACAGTTATTTTAATCTGTGTTTATAATCCATTAAATAACTTTACTCATTTTGTGTTTACTGCATTAAGTGAGTCGGACAGCTTTAACTACAACAAATTAAATTCAATGATTCATAAACTTTTATTCTTGAATACAGAAGATGAAACAGGATCTTAAAAAGCAAACTCTCTTTTCTGATTCTGTCAGCAGAATTTAAGCAACTCTTCCTCCTGCAGACCGGTTTCGTGTGTATTAATGCCATCTGTAAGGTTTTGTTTGGACCTATGGTTCGGACTGTATTAAATCAGACTCTTATTTTGAAACATCCTGTTGCTGAAACCGAAAGTACCACTACCAGCTAAATGACGGTGTKATGTTTGTGTCGAAACTGCCGAAGCCGAATTAAACAATTCACAAACATGTAACAGGTAGCTCAGTCAGAAGAAAGAAAAATACATGTTGAAGGGAAATTGTGAAATTTTCAGCCTGTTTTAGATGTCAAAAATACTAGATGTAGACTACAATCCTTAGATCTCAGGAGGTTAATATAATTTAATACAAAGACCCATCATAAACACAGTCCTGCACATGTACCTGGTTTTTGCTCCACTTTCCTGCTTCCTCTAATCATCTTCATCCTCCTCCTCACTGTCACGGTTTGCAGGTGAATGAACTCAAGAGCAGGCAGACKCAAAGAACTCAAAAATAAAATGATCTATTAAATAAAACAAAACGCTGAGAAGGCAGCAAAAACGTACAAAAAGTTGACATAGGGAAGCGCTGGGAGGACCGAGACAGATGGGGTAAATCCATACAATGAACCAGCAAAGTGGAGCTAAAACCACTATTTATACAAACAGGGATGAGTGGCAGCTGGAAACAGCTGGGTGATTAAAGAGTGACAACAGGTGTGAGAGAACTGACTGGAAGAGACTGAATAATCTGAGGACTAAGATGACATGACATGACAGGAACACTAGAGGGAAGCACAAGACAACAGAAAGCACACACACACACACACACACACACACACACACACACACACACACAAGACACAGATCCTTACACTCACCCTGTTCATCTATCCCTTCCTCTTCACTTCTATGACTGGCATTCACCTCCATGAATTTTCAGCTGCTAATAACAATAAAAAACACATTTTATAGCACTTCAATGCCAATAGGCCTACAACATAAGGAAAGTTGTACACACACAGAGTGATCAGACTCACTGCAATGTCATTTCATTGAAGAACAACCGTTTTGATGAAATGTGCCTTTTTCTGGTGAGTCAGTATGGACTGATTTTAATTTTTGTTGAAAAAGCAGATTAAAGATTTCTACACATATGGTGAAACATTTCTGCTAATTAGTTTGATGATCTGTGAGCCCTGAAGAYGTTGAGAAACACAACGCTCTCCTTTCATCTTCTGTTTCAAGTTGGGCCGGGCTGCTCCTACTCGCATTGAACGTTTAACTATTACACCGGCTGAGTCCGTGTAGGCGGTGCAGCCGCTGGATGCACAAATATGGCTGGATGGTGCGGCCACACCGCCCACACAGGCTCAGCCGGTGAAATAGCTAAACGTGCGGCCGCACCATCCAGCCATATCTATCCAGCGGCCGAGCCGCAGCAGTTGAGGTTGTTCTTCCATGAAGCAGCTCTGTTGTCCTCCATCCATATTTTCAGTTCCAGGCTGAGTCATTTCTACC